CCCCAAAACCCCAAAACCCCAAAACCCCAAAACCCCAAAACCCCTCTAAAAACAAACTAATTGAGGCAGGATTATCTCTTCTTATAAAAAGAAGACAAAGTATCTTTAATCTCTTTCGCTTCTCTTTCCATTTTCTGTCTTATTCTATGCACACAGTTAGATATTTTGCAATGGTAAGTTAGAATTCATTTATTCTTGAAGATTTTCTGCGGAATTAATAGTTGAAAGATACAATTTTCTAGAGTAAAATAGATCATCCAGGCTAATTTAGACAGTTTCCAGATAAGCAAACTACTGCCTGAATATGGAATAGCTTTATTAGGGTCTTAATCTTCCATTTTTAGAATAATTTCATTCGGAGAGACAGAAAGCTTTGCTATTCAACTCATGTTTAACAGAAACTTCTAATGGTTTTTAGAAAACTTCGAAATGTATTAATAATATTAAGAATTTCATAGGGAAATTTCTTACCTTCTTTCTTTATCAAGCTTTCTAGACAAAGAATGAGCACTCTTATAGCTTCTAGTAGACTTGGAATGGATAGACTTTTTAGGAGTGCCTGCTTTAGCAAGTTGGAACGCATTTTCTCTCTGTGGATTGTAAGCCTTCATGTCGTTAGGAACATGGATGGATCTTCTCTGTCCTCCTATTCTTCTAGTGTTCTTTTTAGCAGAAGCTACCTTCCTAGCCTTGTTTTCAAGAGTCATGCCCGGGCTAAAAATACTTTGAGATATATTTTTCTGATAGTCATTGACTCTATGATGTAGCTCTTTAGTGATGGGTTGCTTAGAACTATCAACACTTTTTGTCCATCTGTTGGCGGTTTTGCTAAAGGTCGGCTCATAATCAACAAGAGCATGGTTAGCATTCTTATGATGAAATCTAGCACCAATTCTGGTTTTGCCTCCATAGCTATACACACCCTTGTTTTTATGATCAATTATGTTCTGAACTTTCTTGTTTCCTTTTGTTTTCACAAACTGTTTTCTAGAGTTTTGGGGGTTTTGATACGAGAAAGTAGCAAATCCACTCGATGAGAATCCATCCCCCCTTCCATCTGATGTAGATGGTCTGAAGTAATATTCAGAGTTTCTACAAGGACCTTGATCTCTCATTGAATTCGGATTGCTAGCAACGAGGTATGTAGAATCCAGCATGTAGAAATTTCCTTGCTTCAAATAATTTCTGTTTAGGTTGCTTTTAAAATAAGGTTGGATTGCCATTGAAGCCCCTGTAGCGTTGGTAAATCCATTGCTTTCACTAGCACCGAGAGCCATTTCAGTAACATTTTGGAATTTTTGGGAATTCCCTACTTCTTTATTAACTCTTTGCTTCCAAGCTTCGTGTTCTCCATGAAAGGTCAAGGAAGATTGTAACATTTTTATTTATTTTATTTATAAAGACTTAACTTCAAGATGGTTTTCTTTGTCAGGGGTTTTGGGGTTTTGGGGTTTTGGGGTTTTGGGGTTTTGGGGTTTTGGGGTTTTGGGG